CCGCAAGTGAAGTTTGGGGTGGGTTGGGTGATGTACACAACCTTACCTTTGTTGATTGTAACTTCGTCAAAAAAAAAAACTAGTTTTGGTTCAATTTTTTTCCTGATATTAGATTTAGTTTCTTTGGAATATTTCTGTTTGCCTGATCTTTTTTTTTTCCTTTAGTTTCTTGAGAATATTTCTGATTTAGATTCACAGCATAGAGTGCCCGTGTCTTAAGCAAGATCGAATCTTAATGAATTGAAGATTTTAACCTCCTTGATTTGACCTGGTGTTACTCGACTAAATAATTGGTGGTTTAATGCAGAGGATTCAATCAATGACCCATACAATAAATTAGAATGACCGAGAAGATTCAAAGGTGCTGCGAGGTTTGTGGCAATCTATCCTTTGACGATGGCGGTGATGGGTTCTTCTATTGCACTCGTTGCGGCTCTCAAGCAGTTGACATCATGGACACGGGTGTTGATGATGATGACCTATTCAACGTAGATGGGGGTATGTACTCTACTAGTCAGCGCCGTCAATATTGCCAGGTCAGTCAACCTGTACCCATATCTCAGGTACAACTCTCCCAGCATTTAGAGACTTTGAAAACCTTTGATGACTACGACGAGCGTAATGGAGATGATGGAGTTGGGCCTGCAGTGCCTAGTGATTTTGGATCATCTCAAATTTCTTTGACTTACACAGACTATTATTCAGAAATCCGATTGAGGTATGTTATGGGGTTACAAGCTATGATCCAAATGCAGTGCAAGACTCTGGTGGAGAAATTTAATGTAAGCCCCCTGATTGTTGGGCTTGCTGGGCCTATTTGGTTAAGACTCTTGGCACATGAAAACGTGTTGAGTGATGAATGGGCAGACGATGTCATCCATGAATCAGAGTCTCAAACTCAAGGTATCATTTTGATTATCTTTATAGACACAAGGATGGGAATCGGGATATTTTCATGTTCTTGTTTCTCTAGGATTTGTTAACAATCATTAGTTAGAAGCTGAAGATTAATCAATTAATTTTTAGCCTAACATTGCACGTTCGACTACTATGCTTGTTGTCACTTGCATTCTTTTAAAACACTACTTGTAAAGTGCAAGACTAGTAATTAAGCATATCAACTTGGTTTCTAATGGGCAATCTTGTGTAACGAAAATGAAATTTCTTCTAGGATGTTGGTCCTTCCCTTTTGATCTAATTTGTATAGCATGAAGGAAAAGATGTTCTGTCCTCTTTTATCTTTGGTTCATGGTAGGTGGCTATATTTATGAAAAACTTCTGAATCATACACTCTGGCTGTCTGGCAAAGTGGGTTTGTTAAGTTTTCTATATGTCTTCAGTGAGAGAAATCAGTTGGTGTGAAACTCTGTGATATTATGCAGGTTGAATTTCCTTTCTGTATTCACCTTTCCCTTTTAGAACCTAATTCCAGTATTTATTTCAGGGGAAATAGAACTTTCTCAGCCGACTGGCAGCCAGAAAACAGAACCTCACAATTTAATTGGAAAACGGGCAGTAACCATATGGCATAAATCTTTGAGAAACTTGATTCCATTACCTTGTTCTCTGGCTATCTCTTTTCTTGTCTGTCACGTGGCAAGGGAAGCTATCTTGCCAACAGACATATTGAAATGGACGTTAGAAGGAAAGCTCCCATATTTTGCAGCTTTTCTTGAAATAGAGAAGCAGTTGGGACCTCCTTCAAGGTCGTGCCCTATCAGTACCAGTCGTATGTTCAGGCCTATCAGAACTGTCACCTTGCAAAAGTTAGAGTCCCTAGCTGCCTCCATTGCCAGGAAAATAGGCTTGGAATTGCCTTCAGTGAACTTCCATGCTATAGCTGCCCGTTATCTCAAGCATTTATCGCTTCCTGTTGAGAAAATTCTTCCTCAGGCATGCCAAGTGTATGAGTGGTCTATGCCTCCAGAGTTGTATTTATCAGATAATGACTCCAGGCTGCCTTCTCGTGTTTGCGTGATGTCTATACTGATTGTGACAATGAGGATTCTTTATGACCTGAATGGCGGAAAATGGGAACTGATTTCATCTTGTTCGAATAATTTAGTGTCTGCTGTTGAGAATGGAGCTGGAGAATGTGGTTTCAGTTGCAATGCAAGAGGTGCTGTTACCGAGGAAGACTCAGCTTCACGTGATTCAGATCCTCATGATAGTACATCAGTTTTGAGTAAAAAATCTAATTATGATGCTTCGAAACTATTGAAGATTCTTGAAGAAAAATACAATGAGCTCAGTGATACATATGGTAATTGCAAGGCATTACATTGATTTTTAGATACATGTAGATATAGCATGGGGTTATAAGTTGCACCGATTGTTACTTGTTGGAATTATGCTTTCTTTTTCTTGTTACTTGTTTGAGTTATGTTTCTTTTCTTGTTTGACAGATTTTTCAAAAGATTTACAATCATACCTTCTGTACTGCAAAAATGTGGTTTTCGCTGGACTAGAACCTGCTTACGATGATCACGAAGAAGAAAGGATAATAGAAGATTTTTGGGACTTCTATCAAAGCCATAAGGTATTTTACTTTCCCCGTGATTAAGGTTGATTTATACGATCTTGCACCCACCCACATCCTTAAAACCTTGTCAATATGTGATGGGATGGTAGTACCTATCAACAACCTTCAAAAATCACCACATCTTTCCTTACTGATATATCTGCATAAAAGTTAATTTTGCTCTGTTGGACAACTTCAACAACATGGAGAATTAACCTGAAATCTATATATTTGTTTTTTACGTCAAGTCCATTCTCTTTTAACTGTTTCTTATTCACAGTTGGAATTTTGTTATGTACTAGTACTAGTTCTGTCGAACATCTCAGAATACTAATTTGAACGTATGTTGGCTGAGGATGGTAATTATTTGCTTATTTAGAGAGAACCTACCAAACCAAAGACTCAACCTGAGACCACATCGAGCTGATTTGTTTTCTTTGTAGGAAATTGAAGTACTGGATTTTTTTTAAAATCACTCAAGGTAGATTTTTATTTTTATTTTGGTTAACTGTATATTTTCATTCATAACCAGAATTGTACGATTACAACCAGAGCAGTATTGAACTACCTGCTCACTCTTCAATCTATCAATCTACTTATCTATAATCAAATAATACAAGTAACTTATATATATCAGTGATACATTCCAGCTATAGCCTATGCAGACACTAAGGATAGGCGTTAAGTTGTTGTAGTGTAGTATGCCACTTTGCCCTGTTCTTTCTATTGATGTGCATATGCATCACGATTTCCTTCAGCACTTCATCAGCTCTCATGCTTCGATTCTGAAATCTGATCTTGTTCCTTTCTCTCCATATAACATACACTATCATACCAATCACACTGCTTACAATTTCAGCTCGTCCTGCCTTCTGTTTTGCCATCATACATACCAATCGTAGTTCAGTCTCCCAATCTTGAATAACTCTGTGAAACCTCAGCCACCCACACAGTCTACTCCACAATGCTTTGTCACCTGACATTCAAAGAAGAGATACTAAAGGTAGATTTTATTATCAAAAGATAGGATTAGGCCAGTGCATAGAATCAGAATTACAGAAATGTGCTTAGATTCTCCCTCTGAGCCTCTAGGGATAGTCTATGAGTTTCACTAACAAGTTAGGATCATTACAGGGCTCACATCGCACCACCAGCACTTGTTCTGTAAACACCTGAACTTTACAAAAGGTAAGGATTGTATTTTATCCTCAAAATATCTATGGTTTCTCTCAGGCCCAACTGTCCACAAGATGTACAACGGAATGGCATTCCATTTCTTCGACGCACATGACTCTTTTGCGGAGTCTACTTCCATAGTTGCTTGATCGACAACCACCTTGCGTCCCAACCTTCTTAGCCTTCTTTGGCAAGGATTAGGAAGATAACTCTAGAAAGTTGCAGATTCTTATTCTTTCGTGGACTTCTCTTCCATGCTTTCCGTTGGTCAAACAACCAACCCATTTTTTATGACAAGTCTTTCCCTGCTCCTAGTGACTCTGACGCTACCAGCAGTTAAGCGTGCCTTTTACATTTTCAGGCATCACCTACATAATCCCAAATAGATTGAAATCAATTCTGAGATATTGAGTTAACACACTAAATAATGTTTAACTTCCTAAAGAAACCTAAATACGGAGTTTTGGTGAAGTAACATGATTTACGGTTAGTGTACTTCTTAACTAGCTCTGCCTACATCAGTATTTTTTTACCCATTTGGATGTTGAGCATTCACCTAGTTTTCTTATTTGTTTTTCACGGGGTTCCTGTACTCGTCTTTGCTTGTTTAATATTTAATAGCTGAATTATATTTCATTTTTAAAATAAGGCTGACAAAGCATCAGAAGATGGGAAAACCGACTCCCACACTTGTAACCATTTTCACCATAGCGGATCCAGACATGGATCCAACAGCACAACAAAAGAAAACGAGAACTTTAGGGACGATGGTGATTCAAATGCAGCATTGAGGCAGCTGAAAGCAGATATGAACGAGAATCGATTTGTTTATATGCCACCGAGGAAAAATGTGAAGAAGAAAGATGGCTACATCAGGTATGCTAGAAAGAAAGACGGGGCTTATCTCTACGCTGTACATGCTGATTATTACATATTACTTCGATCTTGTGCTAAGGTTGCACAAGTTGATGTTAGGACTATGCATGTTGGAGTATTGACCTTTGAGAAAAGATTGGAAATGCTAGAAAAAAGAATAGATTTTTGTTTATGTAAGAGAATTCCTGATGATTTCTGTGAATTTTGTCGCGATTAGTAAAGAAATTCATCATATTTAGCCAACTGCCTTTGCGGAAGATTTGGTTTTGTAGTCCATTACAAATGTTATTTTCCGTTAGGAGATCTATATAGACACATCATCTTATTTTATTCCAATTGTAAATTAGCTTATGAGATCATTTCCGCGAGACATTCAATCAACTTCCTTAAAAGTGATAACAAAATAGCTTTTACTACAATTGCCTCTTCTCTTGGCACAGAAAAGCCTTAACTATCCTCTCCCCATCTACGAGAGACAGCAAGGTACAGCTCAGTATAATAGCACTTGTTGGCTACAAGTATACTAAAAAATTGCTGGTCCTCTCGATCAAGGGGGGTAAATTAGCTTGTCTGAATCTTTTCAGCTGCTGCTGAAGCTGCATCATTGAAACCCAACTTCTGTAACGCGTTTAAGAAACCATCCATATCGGCTGCACCAATCTTGTATGGGCTGTGAGCAGAGCCAGGAAATGAACCATTAGTTACTTCTTCCTTGTATTCCAAAAGAGCTTTGTTGATAACATCTCCAACTTGTCCATACTGCTTACAGAACTTAGGAGTAACCTGCAGTACATGGAATATAGTTCATACAGATAGAATTGACTCCGGATTCGGAGTAAATTTAGTTGTACTAACCTTGGCATGGTGCGGGTGTTGCATCATCCCAAGAAGATCATGATAAACTAGCGCCTGCGTTAGTAGGACATGCAATCAAATAACCTAAAACTGTCAATCTTTACAAATGATTGTACTACTGCTGGAGAGTGAAGACATTGACAAAGCATGCTAATATCATGGGGTCATGACAGGTAGAGGTGGCAATTTCAGCCCATATACGTGAAATGGATCCATTTTCGGATCACTACAGAGTATATAAAAATTAGAGGGAATTTCAACCAACCTGACCACTACAGAAAGGCCCAGCGCCAATTCCGATAGTGGGGATCCTAAGAGCAGATGTTGTTGCTGCAGCAACAGGTGCAGGCACACATTCCAAATCAACAGAAAAACACCCTGCTTCCTGCAAGGCCATGGCAGTTTCCACAACCTGCAAAACTCATAAAAACAAGTATATAGACTGCCCTATCAACGTTTCTGCCTTGAGGCCTAAATCCACCAAGAACACTGATGGCCTGAGGTGTTAATCCAACATGCCCTATTACAGCAATCCCCGCTTCAACAATAGCTTTAGCTGCTGTAATTCTTGATGGTGCCCTGCCTTCCAACTTAATCGCGTCCATTCCTCCTTCCTTTAGAACTCTAACAGCTGTATCAACTGCCTGCTCATAACACAACATCACCAAGCCATTCACATCCCATTGAAACTTATCAAGAAAAGATCCCCTTACACCAATAAGAAGAGGCAACATTAATTGGTTGTTGTATGTGTAAGCAACATTCTCCGAATGCAAATGCAAGTACGTCCTCTTAACATTTCAATAAGGCAGATAAAGCAATACCTTCAAAAGTTCGTTTTCAGAGGCTGTGTTTTCATGCAGTTTCTCAACTTAGACAAATCCTTGCACTTCCTAAATAGGATTACTCGTACTTATATCTTTACTAGTTTTTGGGAACGTGTGTTGCACGTTTATCCCTTGTAATTACTACAAGATTTCTATATTTAAAAAGGAATGAATTTCAGAATAGAAAATATGTGCGTATTGCAAGCTACTTAGTATAAATATTTGTAAATGATTTAAATACGGTTACAATATGTGTAAATAGTTATTTATAAAATTAAGTAATCAAAAGAGAAGGAGTGTAACACCAAATTAAAGCTTAACATCAAATGGACAATCTGACAATCATATCAAATAGTTTTAAGAAATTGTAAATTTCACATGAGTTATTAGTTGTGAAGATCTCACATAATGTTTGAAGAGAATATATAAAAATTTATCAATATCCATTACATTATTATAGCATTACAATAAATTATACAACTTCAAATGTACATTATGTTCATCCCACAAATATTCGAAAATAATATGAAATAGAGTAGACTAAAAACAATAAAATAGCTAATGAATTCTAAAACTTTTAAATAACAAAAATTAAAGAGAGAAACAGTTCCACTTTAAAAGAATGGAGGAACTTCCTCAATAACTAACAAAAGCATAAATAGATTTACCTTTTTTTTTATTGCATATGTGATCATGAGGAATTACATCCATCAGCAATCATCCATTAACAATTATACATTAGAATAACCAAGTGTATGCATTAACATAAAGTGACTGTGATGAGCAATGTAATTATATCCACTAATAATCATCCATCAACAACTATATATCGAAAAAACTAAGTGTATGCATTAATATAAAGTGATTTTGAAATAATTTTTTGGTATGTATAATTATAAGTCAGGTATTATAAAAGTCATTTAAAAGATGGCATACATAACATTTATGAGAATTAGAATGATTAAAGTTGGGCTATGTAAAGTTTTTGACTAAAATCTAAATATGTGTGCCATATTAATATGTATGGTAATTCAAAGGACATTTTGTTCTTTAATTTTAAAGGATATTTCAGTTTTTAAAGGATATAATTTACAACATTTTGTTGTTACGAAACACTTTATCTACCTAACCCCATTTTAGAATGAAAACAAATTAAATATTCAGTGAATTAATTCTATCTAGAAATATAATGGATTAATACCATATGATTATTATTTAATATATTATTAATTAGTTTTTTAATAATATTTAAATTTAGTGAAGATTTTCCCATTTATAATAATATATAATGATGATACGTATAATCGTAATTCAACTTTGAAGTTAAGATCTTCCCATTTATAATAATATATGATGAGATACGTAGAATCTGCTCTAATTTCTAGTGATATGTTCAACACAGAAACATAAATTTGTTAATGGTAGTTGAAACGAGAACTGTTTATGCAAATGATAAATGCATAAAATCAATAAAAACACCAATTCTGGAACAATTGAGCTAGAAATGATCACCTATTGAATACAAGACTCATTATTACCAAAAGAATAGTTTTCAACTTTTGCCCCCAAGGCCTAGCTCAAGTGGCAAAAGGTGGAGGATTTGTGGCTTAGGTCGCAGGTTCAAGCCCCACACCATGCAAAGCGAAGCCCGAAATGTAAGTGGAGAAGGGTAGAGGGGCGGGCCCATTATCCACCGAGTTTAGAAGGTTGTGATTGATCCAAAGGGCGGGCCACAAACGGATTTCTCGATTATCAAAGAAAATAGTTTTCAACTTTTCATTATCAACTATTTTCTTTCTTTATCCAATGCCTCACCATTCCAAATAAGTAACAACGTAAACATCACATGACACAAGAAATTACATTAACACAAATAACAAAGGCATAATAAAGCTCAACCAATATTTCAATTCTTGGACAAATTTGAGCAACAAATCATCACCTAACAAGAACTAACTAAACTCCTAAGAACAAAAAGAACTCATATTTCTCCTCATTTTCTTTAACCAATTTAAACAAAACACAATGATACCATAGATGCAGTCTAGCAACAATTCCCACTTTAAACAGAACAACAAATGATTACTTGTTGGATTAACTCATTTATACATTGACAACCTAAATTTTCACATTATAATTGTAATTTAATCTATGAAAAAGCGTCAAAATTGCCCCTGAACTATGTGAAATAGACCACTTATACCCTTGGTTACATTTTGGGATCAAAACTGCCCCTGCTATTATCCTAGGAGACCACAAATACCTCAAGAGTTAACACCCCAAATTTTTAGTGATGTGGCTGGCCACGTGGGACTAATCCTTCCACCTAAGCATTGCCAACTAGGATTCACTACAAAAGAACTAGACCTTTAGCGGCGACAACAGTTGCCACAAAAGTCCAGAATATCGTCACTAAAGGTTTTTTAATATTAAATTCTGATTTTTTATTTTTTTTTCTTCATTGTTTTTAAAAAACCAAAAATGATATCGATTAAGGAGGAGTTTGAAAAGACACTATATTGTTTTATTTTTATGTCATATGTAAATGTATAAAAATGTACAATGATGCTTTGAATCGAGAAGTAATTTTGATGATTTTCGTAATAATATTGGATGTTTTTAATATTGATAGTGCAAGTTATTTATTTTTAGAAAAATTAGGTTGCAACCGAAAATTAATTATCATATTTTTTTGTTGAAAAAAATAGGTTTTTACTAGCGAATGATTGTTGCAGTCTTAGTCCCCACTAAAAATCACTCATAACCTTTAGTGGCAATATTTTGGGATTGGCTAACTATTGAGGGTATTTGTGGTCACCTGGGATAAAGGGGGGAGGGGGTGTTTTTTATCCCAAAATATAATGGAGGATATAAGTGGTCCATTTCGCATACTTTAAGGGTATTTTTTTTACCCTTTTCAGTTTAATCTATCAAATCAAGTGATTTACCCTATTTCACGCCACCATATAATGTTTGCTATGAATAGCTTACACAATTATCTATGATAGTAGCCGCAATGACGGAGCAATGACTTTCACTAAAGGTAATCAAAATATAAAAAAATACATAAATGAAGAAGCCAAAGATATTCAACATTCACTATACAACAACAAATACGTCTCTCGTCCAAAACAAGTTGAGGTCAATTATATGAATCTCTACTTCATTTAAGCTCATTTCATATCCTATCCATACAATGTACAAAAACAACAACAACAACAACAATGTAATCCCATAAGTGTGGTCTGGATAGTGTCGGATATACGTGAACTTTAACCTTATGTAATGTAGTGCAGAAAGGTTGAAGGAAAAAACACCATTTTTGCTAATGGGTATGTTTCAGATAAGCAATGAATCGATCGTACATGTATAATACCCAAAAAACAGTGAAAGCCACTCTTTGCGCCAACCTGACAATTAAAAATGGACAGAGCGAGTATTTTTTTTCTCAATTTATATGATATTTTTTAAATTTCTAGAATCAAACAGCTACTCGATTGTGAATTTGGGGAGTGAAATTTTTAAATATTTCGAAATCAAGTTTATATATTTATGTAAAATATATATAGTATTTTTTTTTTATAGTGAACGAGTAAAAATGAAGGGGAGGGTGTTAAAAATGATTACAAAAAAGGAAAACACACATTATCTTAAATGACTTATTTTAAGATATAAGCTAACGGTTTCTTTTTTCGCCGTCTTTTTTAATGATTATTACGTGTACCAAGAAATATAATATATGTTTTAAAATTATTTTATATATAATATATATTTTTGAATTATTTGTCATGTGCAACACATTCTTGTCCTAAAAGATGATTATAAAATAAAGTTTGATAGTGATTTGTGGACCCTCAAAAGGCATTTGGGAAAGTTGTGGTTGTCGATTATTTTCTATCTTTTTATGATTTTTGTAGCTCCTTTAAAAAAGATAATCTCTCCGTTTTTTTATATGTTATTATTACTATAAATAGTTGGTATATAATATTTGTCAATTTCATAAAGTCAATGTATAAATTACAATATTCTTTCTATTATATCCTTTGATAGTTCATTAATCTTGAAAATAGACATTTAACCAACCTAGGTAAACTAATAATTAATTAATATTCACTGTAATTATTTTATACATTGATTAATTATTTTCACCATTGCATTACTCTATAATCTGATTTCGAAAAAGAAACATCAACAAAGAAATTTAAAATAAGAGATGGATTTATTTATTATTTATTGAAAAGTTGACTTAAAAAAAATTAAATAAAGATAAAATTGTAAATTTACTTAGTTTCTTTATGCAAGTGACATATAAAAAGGAATAGAGAAAGTATTTAATAACGTTACTTATAATAATACTTACCTAAATTAACTTTTTTTCCCTTTAAATGTCTCATTTAATTAACACTCCACTAGTTGAAGTGCTACGGATGAAATTGGAAGAAAAAAAAAAGTAAATGACTTCTTATATTTCAAAACATTAAAGATTTGGAATAAATTTTAGTTTGTCCAAACGACTAATATTTGAGACAGGAAGGTGTAATGCTTGCGTGAGGGGTGTGATGTAAACAATCTACCCTCACACAATCATTACCGACTAATTCCATGTAGCTCAAACACATAATTTATAGGTCACACATAGTGGCAGATCCAAAATTTTCATTAAACGGAGTTAAAATATGAAGACGTAAACACACGAAGAAGTAAAAAAGGAGTTCAATATGTACTATATATACATCAAAATTAATTTTAACCATAGCATAGATTTCCGTCGAAAACGGTTTAGACGGACCCTTAGCTGAACCTGACTCCGCCCTATCACACGGAGACAACATTACCGTTGCTCCAAGACTCTTATCCATTATCCATTTTTATGTCCCTAATATAAAATCAGCTATACACACTAAGCAAATATCTTCAATCACTTTAACAAACAAAAAAATGTC